AAGGACCATTGCAATGCTAATATTTTCATGTCCAAAATGACATTCATTTAATCTGGCTTCCCTCTTGCTTCTGTGGATTATTGAATGCTGCTACTGGGCCAGCCCAGAGCAAAACCGAGCCATGCAGGAAGCTTGCCCACCGACCCCTCAACAGCTCCTTTTGACAGCTCACTCCCTGCTCCATACACAAACCCCCTTCCAGATCACTCCCCTATGTCCCCAGCTTTCAGGGGATGCTCTTCCTTGGGGACTCCTGAGGACCCAGATTTGACCACTTTCTTGCCAAGCACCCACCCTGGTCTAGGAACAAGCGAGATGTCTTAGCATACATCCTTACAGCAAATCTGTAAAATAGGTATTATCCTCATTTTGCAGAAGATGAAACCAAGACAAGTTCAAGGTGCTTGCGTGGACACCCAGCGCAGAGTGGGAAGTTACCCCAGACCCTCCAACTCTCAAACCAGCGCCCTTCCCCGCCAGACATGGCCCATCTGCCATGGAGGAGGGTCAGGCACGGTGATAGCCGATACAGTAGTTGTGGTGAGGAGAAACCTAGTAATGTAGAGGAAAGACATTTACAGGCTGTGAAGCTCAACACAAACAACAGAGGAGGTTTCCTTACACCATGCCGGTCTCTGTCCATCTCCTGCACAGGAGCACTCGCCCAGAAAACACACTCATCCTCCACTCGGTGCAAACAATGAGTCATCCACCTGTCCAGGGGAGGGACGTCCTGCCAGATGAATGGCAAGAATGCTCCTTCTCCCTCCAGTAAATCTAATTTGTTACCAAGCCTTGTCCATTCTCCTGTGTGTCTCTCAAATCTGTCATTTTTTTCTCCATCCCACTGCACTTCCCTGTGGGCTCCAACGTCTCACCTACATCACCGGAGCAGCCTCTCCCTGATGTCCCTGCATCCACCCAGTCCCCTCTAACCATTCTCCACACCGCAGCCAGTGATGGTTCTCAAGGACAGATCTGAGCCTGTCATGGTGGGCTTCAAACCTTTCAGCAGGCTCCCATTAAAGTTCAAACCCTTTAGCCTGGCTTACCAGTTGGTGATCTGGCGGCTGCCCCTTTTGCCAGACACGGCCTTCACCGTCTGTGCCAGCTCCGACATCGACAGGACACACCTCCCACTCCTTGCCAGGTTAACTCCTCCTGTCTTCAGCTCTCGGCTTCAACATCACCTCCCCTGGGGGGCCTCACCCTCCGCAAGTTGGGGTCAGTGCCTCTCCCACACTGTGAACATCACTCCCACAGCCCTGAGCTGCGATCAGTTTACCCTCTGCGGCCCCTCTGAGAGCACCAGGATTGGGTCTGGGTCCTTCACCATTGTATTCAAGCTGCTTGGCACAAGTGAGCATTCAGCAGGTCTTTGAGTGAACAATGTCCTGTCTCTGCAGGCCCCAGTGCTGGCCGTTTTGAGGGAGTTCTCGTATGGGAACCTGTTCTGCTGCTGCTTCTCGTAAACCTTCCTTTCTCGTTGCCCTTTGCTGAGTGCTGATGGGGAGACAGCTCTCCCAACACATCACACAAGAATGGGGGAGCAACGGAGGGGCCCCCAGGGTCAGCTCAGCCACCCCCTCCCATGGGCTGAAGAGGCCAGCAGCCGTCCGAGAAGGCTCTAGCCTGGTCAGCAGAAGTCCCCAGGGAAAAAGATGCCTGCCCTGTCCTGATGTGAACATCTCTCTCCTGCCCAGCCAGGGCAGCCTGCCTTTCGTGGCTTAGGTCATCTGACCAGAGACCAGTGCTAATAGAGGGGTCAGTGCATCCCACTGCCCTGTGAGCCAACAGACTTCACTCTGTCCCCAGAAGTAGACAGCACAGGGACCCTGTGGGCATCTCAACAGGTGTGTCCACAGACCAGGGGGCAGGAGTGAGAGGGAGAATGGGCAGAGAGGAAGCGGCCTCCATCCACATTCCTATGACTTGGCTGGTCCTCAGTGGATGATGGAGGGTCAACCCCCTCAACCATGACCAACTCCTGACCCCACAGTCACAAGTTCCCCTCCGGTAAATCTTGGGGAGGCTCTCAGGGACCCCATTCTGGCTGGACCTTTGATAGAGCGTCACCTCGGACCCCTCAATCCTCAGCAAATCTCTGGAGGCTTTGGGACACAGCAGCAGCAGGACGAGGTCCCAAAGGCTGACACTCTGGGACAATTCTGAGCCCACCTGGCCACACCCTTGAGGAGGAGGGAGACAGACCTCCACAGGCAAAGGGGTTAGAGGTGCCCCTCCCGCTGCAGACCCATATGCTGCAAGTTCACTCTCCTCCTCCCCACCTTACCCAGCCCCACCCGTCAGTGGTGCAGCAACCTGCCCAGGGCGAGGAGGACGTCCGAGCTTCTCTCGCCTGCAGCTTGTCACCGGGACCGTGACAGCTGAGGAAAACCCACAAACCAGAACCCCGACCACGGGAGCTGGGAGACTTCTACTGCAACAAGGCGGCAAAACCAGTGGGCTCACGTGGTTTTAAATGCCTCCCTCCTTGCCCGCTCACCATCTGATCCTGACTTCATGTCTCTGTGCCCTCCTTGAGGCTGTCTCAGAGCCACACGAAGTGGGTGCAGCCCAGGCCAAGTTACCCTGTGAGGTCCCCTCACTCCTGGAAGAGACATCAGGCTCACGTGAACCCCAGGAACATCAGAGGAACTGGGGAGAGATTGTACCTAAAACTGACAGCCCCTGTCCCACAGGAAGCCATGGAGGACTTATTGCTTGCCCTCTCCCCCAACACTCTATGGGGCCAGCCACAAGACCGGCCGTGTGTGGTGGGTGACAGACACCCAGCTGGGAGTTGGTCTCTCATGCAGAGGGCTCAGGCCACTTGAGTGGCCCCTGACCCCAAGCTTGCGTCTGGTCACCAGGCAAAGGGAGTGTTAGGATTCCTCAGGTGCCCACCGAGAGCCCCTCCCCGCCCAGCAGATCTGTAACCTGGGCCCGAGAAGGGGAGATGGGTGCCGAGATGGGAGTGCGTCTTGGACAGAGGTTAGGACAGCTGCCTGATCCCCTCTGGGTCCCTCACACCAACCACCACGGGAAATCAGTCAGTCATGGCTGAGCGAACACAAACCACGAAGAGACAGCCTGCTCGTGCTTTTGACACATGATCAGTTTTTATTTAAAAACATGCTAAAAACATGGCGTTCAATAAAGCCAGGCCCAGGATGAAGGAAACGCAGACAGATACGGCATCACAAGCAGAAAAGTGCATTTGAAACCAACAAGCGCGCTCCCTGCTCTCCCTGCTGCACCCAGGGTGGGCAGCCCCCAAGGCCCACCCCTCAGAGGGCCCGTCAGGGCAGCAGGCCAGGACACCCTGGACGACTGCCTCATCATGAGGGAGATGGGCAGAAATGGCACACGAGAGGCCAGACGCCGAGGGACAGAGTGGACTCAAGCACCGGCCCCCAGCTCCGTCCTAAGCCAGGCCCCTGCTAGTTAGCACCTCCACCAGCGGGTGGGCAGGGGGCAGGAGAGGCGGGGACAGTCATTGCCACCCACCTGGACTGCTCTTTGGCCACCAAAGCAAGGCGGGACGGCCACCTGGTTCCAAGTCAAACCAGAACATATGCGTGAGGGTCGGGGTGGGGTCAGCCACCTTTCCAGAGCGAGCCCAAGAAGCAGGCCCAGGCTGGCAGGGGGAGGGGCTGACAGCGCTTCAGCTGGGGGTGCAGGTGAGATGCAGCCCCTCAAGGGCAGTGCTCACCCTGCTCGCCCACCTCCCCTGCGAGATGGCTGCTGAGTCCACGGCAGGCATTCCCGTGAGGTTGTCTATAGAACCTTGACCTTGTGAGTCAAGTCTGTCAACTGCATCAGACTCGACTGCACTAACTCTGACTTGGGCGAGGGAAGCCAAGAGTGCGCACTTAGTTCATTCTGCCTGAATGAGATCAGTCGGGAGAAGCTGAGAAGACCCCGGGCCACCACTGCTGACATCACAGGGCGTGGCCTGCTGTGTGGTGTGGGGACGGCTCTGCAGGGCAGGCAGGGGGCTTGGAAGAGCACCTCCATACCTGGCCCCCCATGGAGCCTTCTGCCCAGTGTAGACTTGGCCAAATGACTGAACAGCCAAGCACAGGGGGTGGCAGGAAGGCAGTTTTGGGAACGGAGGACAAGGCTCTGCAAACAGACGGACCAGGTGGGGACTGGCCAGGAGGGGGAACTGCGGCCAGGGCTCCAAGGCCAGAGGACAGCCCTGAAGCACCAGAAACATAAGATTGCCAGGGAGGGTGTACTCTCCCCAAGGTGCTAGGCTTTTGCTGTTGACTTTAACAAAAATTAAAAGTTGCATTGATAGGCATAAACAAACCCGCCCCCCCCACCCCCAGCACACACTCATTATGCACCAGGCCCCACTGTGCACTCAAATGCTTGCTTGCCAAGTGTTTCTCTGAAGTGGCATGGTGGCATGTCTGCTCCACGTCCTGCAATTTGGGGCTCTCAGGAGGCAGCCAAAGCTCCTTACCAAGAAGATGGGGCCAGAGGACCCGGGAGGGCAGTTCTCAAACGTGCGCCTGCCTCCCGCCTCATCCTACCCAAGGACCAGCCTTCCCATCAGCACCACTGTACCTGTCTCCGGGAGGTGGTCTTCACTCTGCCCAACTGGCTGAGACCACCCTATTCTCACTCCCCACCCCCAAAATTGTGAATCCTAAACACTCACCAAAAGTTCTATAGTCCTGGTCCCCACCGCACTGCACTTAGGTGAGTGGAGGAGACGCTGGCTGGGTGGCCGGCACTCAGCTCTTGGAACAGACAGGTGGAGGCTGGAGAGGAGATGTGGGCCCAGCGGGAAATCAAGGCCACAAGCCAAATGGTGCAGGAAAAACCAGCCGCCCCACACTGGACCCCAGCCAGCTAGTGGGTAACCTTCACAAGTTCAGACTCATGAACTCTTGACTTTTTCTTTTAACTGCAAAATGCTGAGGTTTGTTGGGGGCGCCCTGCTGTAGCTGAATACCCCACCGCACTGTTCATCCTCCACGCCATGACTCAGGCTGCATTCTTCCTGGGGCCACGGTAACAGGATCCAGTCTGACCTCTCTCGGGTTTTCTGCACTTCTCCTTGGGGTCACAGAGGACATGATCACCACCCACCTCTCCATCAGTGAACCGTGAGGAAGGGGATGAGGGTCCTGGGACCCAGATGGACATCTTCCCTCGGGAATCTGGCTGGAATGACCAGTTCCAGTTCCACCCTCCCTCCCGATGGTCACGGGCCCTCTGCCACTGTCTGAGCAGTGAAATGTAGGGACTGCTTCCCCTCCCAGAAGCAGCGTGAGCAAGTGAGCAGCATCTGAACTAGAGAGGTACTGTCCGAGAGTCTCTACCAGGAATGTCTGTGAAAGTGACCGGGACTTGTGGAACCTGTCGCGGGAATGCCCGCATGGAGGGGAAGGGGAAGCCTCCCTGCCAGCAGAGGGCGGGAGGAAGCAAGAAGGGAAAGAAGAAAAGCTGCTCATCAGTGAAGTACAAGGACCGCTGACAGCTCCTGCCCTCTTCCTGGCAAAGCGCCTGCCCGCCCCCAGAGGACCCACACTGCCCTGGCCTCTTGGGCCTGCGTCAGCAAACGCATCACTCCTTGCAGGATGCGCCTCCACGTCACTTCCCGCTCCTCCGTCTCCCCTGCTCTTCCGGGCGCCTGGGCACGGACGCCGGGCCCGAGAGAGCAGTCCTAGCCGGGCCCTCCTCAACGTGCCCCGGGCGAAGGCCAGGCACATCTCACCCAGAGCCTCCTGCGTGGTGCACAGTGGTTTGTCCTGACTGAAACCGGACTGACGTCCACTCTCCCCACCCGTCCCCACCCTCAGAAAAAGAAACCAAACCATTACAGAAATCAGCGCAGTATAAAGTTATAAATCAGAAAGCTAACCCTAAACTTAGCTGAGATAATATTCCTGAATAATCATAATCAGAGTAAAATAAAATAAAAAAGTTACACTGTAAGGTATAAAAAGCCTGGGGAAGACGCTCCCAAGGGCCTTGCCCAGAGCGGTCAGACCCCCACCCCACCAGCTCTCCCACTCTCCCACGGGGTGGTCGTGGATGCCAGTGGCCTCTGCTGGGCAGTCTCTCCACCAGGAGGGAGCACTCTGCTCTGCACCCCACGCGGGGACTAAGTGTCACTGTGAGGAAGGGCAGGGCAGAAACGCATCAGTGCTGGGGGCCTCCTTGAGCATGCCCCCGGCCCACCCTGTCTTCTTTGGCAAATACACAGATGCAGGAATCCAGGTGCCCCAGCACCCCAAGGTCTCTGCACGCCTCCTCGTCCCTGGCCCTCCACCCACCGAGAAGGCGGAGGTGGGGTGGGCGGGGGAGGGCGGGCTGGGGGAGGGTTAGGGTCAGCAGTCTGCAAGTGCGGGCAGGCAACACAAAGCTCAACTCTTCTTCCCCGGCACATGTCCGCGTGGGGCTGGGGCGCTCCCGGCCGGCCCCTCAGGCATCATACTTCTTACCAGTCCTGTGGATGTGCTGGAAGAGGGTCATGGAGAAGGCCATGCCCAGAATCTGAAAGACACGGGGAAAAGGCCTCAGACAGAAGCCCCACGACCTGGGATCTGATCCGGGGCACCTAGAGCAAGTGGGTGCACCCACTCATGTGCTGGACAAACACTGGTGGAATGAAGACAGTGGTGGACAGAGGAGGTCACACACAATGACAGCCCCTCAGAGCCGTCTGTACAGACTGTCATCCCACCTCTCTGGGGCCCCGTAACCTGCCTACGTCACAGCGCTGTGCTGAGGACTGAATGCACAGGGCACCTGACCCTACACGGCAGCTAACAAGGAACTGAGGAGGGGAGAGAAGGGTGCCAGGAACGCGACAAGCCCGTGCTGAGTCATTTCTGTGTGGTTCTGGAATAGATGAAGCGACGTCTTAGGCTGCAGCAGATGTGCGTAGGATGACATTAATGCTCATTTGTGATTCCTCAACTCCTGAATCCTGAAGGGGGTGGTGACCCAGAGCAGTGTAGGAGGCAGGAGGAAGCCAGCCCGTGGCCTCAGGGTCACCACAGTGTGCCATGGGCACACACCATAAGCAGGTGACCAGGGGACACCGTGTGCCCCTCATGGCTCTCGCACTCAAGGCTTGGGCATAACTGGAGGGGACTGTGGCTGGTGAGCCAGGCCCAGCGTTCTAGTCCAGCCTGACCACAGGCATCCCTGAGAAGGGCCCCATTCCCGATAGAATCTGTGCCCTGGGAGCACATCTCACATCAAAGCTCTGTGAAAATGAGCGCGGGCACTTCTGCTAAGCTTGAAAGCACTTAGATAAATCACACATGGTCAGGCCCCCACGCCCAAGAGTTTAGGGCAAGAAAGATAACTTCATGCAGGATGCCGACCATCTTCCCATGGACCAACTAGTGAAGTTCAAGTGCCCCAAGAGGACTCAGGCACTGCAGACTCCTGCTCACCAGGGGTGGGAGCCGTACCTAGTGGGCAAAGGAGGGAGGCCAGGAAATGTTCTTCCTCAGAAAGGTCGGGGGTGCTTGCTCCTGCCAGCTCTGTCGGCCTCACCTTCAAGAAGGGAGGCAGCGACCCCTCCTCGTCCCTCTCCCACAGCTGTTCATTCAGTGCTCGCTAGTAACAGCTGACATCTACTGAGCACACCCTCTGTGCCTGGTCCTGCTCTGCACGCTAGGGCATATTAAACTCACTCAACGCTAAGAAGCGGCATGATGCTCATGCCCACTACACTGATGTGGAATTTCAGGCCCAGAAGCGGAGCCCTGTGCCCAGGTCACACATATCTAACAGGTGGTGAGGCCGAGACAGCCCTCACGGAGTCTGGTCCACCAGCCTGTGCTCACAATCGTCACCTGAGGCCTCAGGTTTCGTTCAGTTCGGTCACAAGGTAAATGTCCCTGTGGGGTGGGGACAGGTGTGTTCACGAGCAAACCCACACAGGGGCTTCATGCGATGCCAGAATCAGGCCCGGCTCAGACGGGAGGCCGAGGAAGCAGCACCCGACTGCCTGCAGGGTCAAGACAGGCATCAGGAAACAAGGGCCTGGGCCAGAGCAGGAAAGTGCATGGACGTCAGGCTGCCTGGGTGGGTTATCTAACTTCCAGGTGTTTGGTTTTCCTCCTCCGACCGGGTCCGGTGGGGGAGCAGGGCTCAGACGGCCCTCTTACCTGCATGATAAGGATGCACATCCCCACTGTGCCAAGCACGTGCTTGTTATCATCAAACCACATCTTCACCTTTTCATAGCAGCCCTGGGGAGCGAGGACCACACGGTTAAGGTGCTGGCACCACTGTGAGCCCCCTGCTGCCCAGCCCTCCCTCCCTGACCCTCAGCCCCTGTCCCTGCTCTCTCCTCCTGCCCCTCCCCAATCCTCAGCCCTGCTTCTCCTGCCTTTGAGCAGGCCCCACCCCACCCAGGGTTCCCCCTACAAGGCCCCACACAGCCTCAGACCCCATTTAACCCCCCACCCTCTGACTCTTCCAACTAGGGGTCAGGGCCCCCCATTTCCCACCTGCTTTTTGGCTCCAGTCCTGGGCGCCCTCCACCCCACCCCACATTAAACCAATTCCTTGGTGTCCCAGGCCACCCTCCCCCGCAGGTGTCCTCCTCCCCTCCAGCCACTACACAGGCTCCTGGGAGGAGCACCGGGGGAGGTGGATCCCACCTCACCGTTTTCCACAGCGGGGTGGTGGCGTTGCGCCCACAGCCCTGGGAGTTCTCCATGCAGCAGCGGTCGGGAACCGTGTTCTCTCCCAGCACCGGGTACCAGTCGGTGTAGTCGGTGACACCACAGCAACGCATCTGCCAGGGTGCGAAGGGTCAGACGCCCCAGCCCACCATCCTCCTCCAGGCCTTCCCCTGCCCAGGCCAACCCCGGCCCCACGAAAGCTGCCACCCTGGAGTTCAGCAGAGGAAACAAAGGCCTTCTTCTTGCCCCTTCTTTGGGCCCCAGCCAGGTCCACAGGGGAAGTGAGTGACAGCTCCTTCCTGGAGGCCGGTGGGGAGAAAGTAATGCCACCCGCCCCTCAGAGCCGGACCCCGGACACTGGGCAGGAGCGCTCAGCCCTCCGCTCAGCCACCAGCCCCTCTGGCTCTTAGCTTTGTGGATCGTCCCAAGCTGGCTGCCGGCCCCTCCCCAGGACTTAACATGGGGCATCGGGCTGTACTGACTTTTTTCCTCTTAGAATCAGAGCCTCCTTGTTTGAGCCATGATCAGGAGATGAATCTGTTGCTAAAATAAATTCTGTCATTCATGCCAGAGCTTCAGAAAAAGCTTCAGGAGAAGGACCTCCTCTGCCCAGGTCCTGCTCACCCCCTTCGCCCACCTCCTCGTCCTTCTCCAGCTGCGTCCCACTGCACGGCGTCTGACCCAGCAGCTCTCAGTTAAAACCCAGCAAGCACTGGTGCCCAACTTGGTCAGCTGGCAGAGGCTGAGCCCAGGCTGCCAGCCCGGCTCCCTGCCTGCCCGGCCTGCCCCACCTCGGCCTGGATGATGTTCCAGGCGTTCTTCAGCCCCACGTTGTTCTCTGTGTTGTACAGCAGCAGGCCCTCCTTCAGGTCCTTCCTGGCGTTCTCGTTCACCTGTCATGTTGGGGGAGACGGGCAGGGCAGTTGGGACCAGGATGCAGCTCCTCTCCCCAGCTCACCCAGGTCCACTAGGACCCTGGCCCCAGCTCTTTCAGATGGGGGCCCTGCCCCAGCTCAGGGCAGGCGCAGGGGCAGGGGAGGTTCACCCACTGCCTCACAGGGCTGTAACACCCAGAGGCGAAGAGACGGACAGAGGGCCTCGACTCCCCTGCTCCCAGGACCAGCCCCACAGGCCACTCTGCCCACAACACCTTCCCCCATGTGCCCGTCAAAATACACCCTGGGAGCCAGAGGGTGGCAGACCAGTCATTCTGATCTTAGGTCCACCCTCACTGGCAAGTAACTTACCCTCTCTCACTTCTGCTTTATCTGTAATATTGGAATAATAATATCCACCTCTGAGGGTGTTATGAGAATTAAAGGAAATGATCCTTATAAAGAGCTAAGAACAGGGCTGGCACAGAAGGATCTCTCAATATTACTATTTCTTCCCTTTCACAAGGGCAAAAGAATTATTGTTTCTAATCCTAATAATGACCCTACCTTTCAGTGTAGCCTGGGCAACTACTTCAAGAACCCAAGGAACAGACAGTTACACGATCCCAGGGTACAGCGTACTGCAAGAGCCTGCTAAGCCCCAAGGGACTGAGCGCTTGGCCGGTCATTCTTGGTAGCACCGGTAAGAAGATTCTGCAACTGGACTAGGAACTGTCCAGCCTGGTGAGGTTGCCAGGAGTCACCCCCACCATCCTCCTGAACCTCGTGGTGCAGCCTGGGAGCAGCCGCCCTGTCCTCAAAGGTCTCTGGGAAAGGAAGCATAGCTACTCTCCACTTTTAGCCCTACTCACAGTGCCACCTGGAAAGTTCTTCTGTGTTTCCAATAGGTTACCCTCAAATCACTCAGCCCAAACACCTAGTCAGGTTTGAATCCCTTCTCCAAGTGGTCAACCCAACTATGCTTGAATACTCCCAGTGACGGGGAGCTCACTAATGCCATTGCACCCTTCGGCAATTTAGAGGACGCCACTTCCTAAGACTACACAGGTAATGAACCCCTCATTCTGCCCAAACTCACCTTCCCCATGCTGCCCCCACCAGGAACTTTCATCCGGGCCCTTCTTAGTGCTCCTGGTTCCATCCTTCTTTCCTCACAGGGACTGCCTGTCAGTGCTTTTCCTCCAGCTTGCCCTGACCCAACCCAAAGGCAAGGAAATCCCCTCCCTTCCTAGAAGGCTTACCTTGTCTATGTAGACAAAGAAGAGGATCAGTAAGATCAGCTCTGCCAGGAGGATGACCAATAGGACGACGAAAAACTGGAAAGAGAAGGTCCAGGCGTGGGCACGTGGTAGTGGTCACGGCTGGGGACAGGGTGCAAACCAGAAGGGCAGTGGGGAGGCAGCACCCAGACAGGGCTTCCAGGGATGGGAGTCCCAGATAGGGAGAGGAGGGAGATGAAGCAGACAGCCAACCAAGGAGTCGGAGGGACAACTAGGGCAGGGATAGCCAACCACGAGGAAGAGGGGAGTGGTCAGGCCAAGAACACTCTGGAAGCAACTTCACTGGACTCAGGTTGGGCACTCAGTTGGCTGATGTTCCCAGGCCTTGCCAGCCTCAGTGGCCCAAATGTAGGGCGAGCTCAGAGGGTGGGGATGCGGGGTCCAACTTACACTGAGGAGGAGGCACTTGTTCTCCTTGATGGCCCCCAGGCAGCCGAGGAAGCCCGTCACCATGACAATGGTGCCTATGGCGATGACTAGGTTGGCTGCAGACAGCGAGGGGAAGCTGGGGGAGAAGGTGGCAAAGTTGCCTTGGGACACGGAGAGCCAAATGCCCACTCCGAGCAGCCCACAGCCACAGAGCTGGAGAGAGAGGAAAGCCTGTTAGAGGGCCCTGCGCCTGCATCCATCTCCATGGAACTCGGAAGACGGCGGGCCCCCACCCACTACTGTGCGGCACAGAAAGGGTGACACGGCCTCCGGGTCAGACGCGCTCACGGGCCCAATCACGTCGGCTGCAGGACCTCGACACATCCCTCAGCCTCTCTGTGTCTCAGTCTCCCCGTCTGGCAAACAGGATTATATTAGCTTCATGAACCTCGTAGGGTCACTCAGGGGAGGATCAAAGTAAATCACAGGCACAAGTGTGTAACAGATATCGCAGGTCCTAGACACACATGTGTGGTCGAGGTTCTTCCACCCGGCAGAGGAGAGGCCCCGGCGTTCTGGAGGGAGTCCAGGGAGGGGCGCATGCTGGTTGGGGAGAGACCTTGTCTAAGGACTGGTCTCTGGGGTGGGAAGAGAATCTCAGAGTCCAGTTTCTCAAAGCCAGACCTTCTGGCGACCGTGCGCTGTTGTCCTGACCAGAAGGACCATTTGCCCACTGTTGTCAGGAGCCTGAGGAACGAACTTCCCACAGACAGAAACAGAAAAGAACCCACGGGGCTGGCAGCGGGGCTGGCCGACGTGCAGGACATGGGGGTCCATCGCTGCCTCCGCCATCCATCCAATTCAGCAGCCGACGCCACAGCCGAAAAGCGACTCTCCTCGACAGCACCCCTGGGACTGCGACACCACCGGCCTCCCATGGGGAAGCTGCAGTCTCGAGGGCCGCAGATGCCCACGGCTGCCTCAGTTTATGCTCCGTAGAGCAGACAGCCCCCCTCCCTCCGCAGCTCAGGGGAAGTTCGCCAAGGCTGAGGAGCTGATCAATCAGTGCACCAGGATTTATCGAGTACCCACAGCAGCAGCGTCCTGTGCCAGAAGAGCTATGGCCACTCCACAGACCTGCCTTCCCGCAGCCTCTGCTCGGGCTGGACGGGAGCAATAAAAAAGCAAAATCTACCCCAGGCAGTATACGCTGTGCCAAATAAATGGCACAGGAGTTCAGAGAAGGCAATCACTGTCCTGCTCCGAGGGGCTAGTTAGAGGGCAGCTGCCTGGGTCCCCACACTGTGGGGAGCGGTCCTGCACCTCCTATCCCTGCAGCAGCCCCGGGTGGAACTAGGTCAAGGCTCCCAAGGTGTGGGACACTCAGGCCCAGAGCATCCACCCAGTGGGGCGGCTACCAGGCTTTGCAGGGGGAATGGGTTCCACCACCCCCTGAAACCACTAGGTGGCGCCCCAGGCCGGGTCAGAAGCTCTGGGTTTGCCAGTGGGGCACTGAAACTTTCACCCAGTTGTCACTCTGACTTTCTTCAACCAGGTCAGTTTCTGTGCTGCCGTCTCAATTTTTCTTTCATTAATCATACCATGGAAATTCATGATCTTCATGCTGAAGATGAATGGCTCTAAAAGCCAGACCCTGGAATGAACAGGAGGAAAACCCGCTGCTGCCAGGTCACTTCCACAGGTAGAGAAGCTGCTCAACAGACCTGCCGCGGAGCCGAGGGGGCGTGATGCCCCACCCCCTGCAGCTGGAGACACCAGGGCCCCCAGGGTCCTCCCTGGGCCTGGCAAAGTTCTCAGAGCACAGCTTTCCCCAGAAGCCAGTTCTGGTGGGCCTGGTAGGGCCCCCTCTGTGCCTCCATTCCCCATTCCTTCCTGGGGGAACTGCTGTGCGGTCAAGGAGCCTCTGTCTGGGGAAACCTCAGCAGTTCAGACACCCCAGGGGCTGTCATTTCTCAGAACTGGTCCTCTGACTCCACACTCCACGTTCCCTGCTCTACAAGGTGATAGCTGTCCCCCTATCCCCAAGTCTGCCTCCCTCTCACTTCCCATCTGAGGTCCTGCCCTGTCCCAGGGTAAAGCACAGGCGGGGCGGCCTCCACAGCAGCCTGTACCCAGGTCCGGGCGAGCCTTCCTCTCAAAGCCCTCGTCCCTGTCCCCACTCCAGCAAGGCCCCTGCCTCGCACGAGGTCTACTGAGTGCACGAGGACCCCCACACCCCACTGCCACTCTTCCACATCCTCAGGGTCTCCTGCCAAGATGGAGCCTCTGTTCCCATCTCAGACGACCCAGAACCAGCAGAGCCTCCAGGCAGGCAGAAAACTCAAACATCAGCCCTAAGTTTATAGACAAGGACACTGAGAGGGGACAGGTGGCCATCACACTGAGGCTGGGCCCAGAACCTGGTTTCCTGGCTTTTGGTGCAGAGCCCTTTCCGCACCATCACTCCCCAGGAGACTGTGCGTGCCAGCTGAGCCCCAGCCACAGGTGAGAGGGATCGAGACCATGGCCTCAGCCCCTGCCTCACGCCAGACCCCAGCCACACCCCCTGCCGGCCTCTGGCCTGTTTTCAGCCCAGACTGAATACAAAGAGATGGCCGAGTCCTTTCTCTAAAATGCCTCTTTCCTCACGCTGCTCCCCTATGTGACCTTAAGAGTCTTGAGCTCTCTGAGGCCCCGTTCCCTTTAAAATGTGGAATCTGGACGAGAGAATTTCTCAGGCCCCTTCCAGCACTGGTTTAGCCAATCCTGAGACGCTGCTCTCATCCTAGCCCAGCGGTTCTCAACCAGAAGCAACTTTGCTCCACAGGAGACATCTGGCAACGTCTGGAGACATTTGGGGTGTCACAACTTGGGGAGGGGGTGCTACTGGTATCTTAGTGAGTAGAGGCCAGAAATGCTGCTAAACCTCCTACAATGCACAGGACAGCCCACAATAAAGAACTCTCTGGCCTCAAATGTCAACGGCAGTTGAGAAACCTGCCCTAGCCTCACTGCCATGCTGGCCATCCACCCTCTGGTATCAACTCGCTGAGAAGACGCCATCAGAGAGAGAATACGGTGTGTTCCCTAGGATGGGGCAGCGTCCTGGCTCTGAGAGGGATGGCACAACAGGGGAGGAGGAAAGCACCGGGAAGACTCTGCCCAGGGAGCTGGCGAGGGCTGGGCGGGGGCAGTTAGGAGGCGGACGTCTGGTGCAGGGCAATGGGCAGGAGGGAGGAGGCGACAGCAGAAAAGGTTTGCTGGGCAGCAGGGCAAGAAGACAGGAAGCCGGCCTCTGAAGCCAGAGCAGGGGCAGGGGAAGGCAAGGCAGGAATGGGAGAGGGGAGGAGAGGGAGGGGAGCCGCCCCGTGCGGAGGGTGCCAAGCACAGGAAGGAGGCAAGGCCTGCAGTGGCACAGCCAAAGCTCAGCGCCAGAGAGTTCAGCTGATGGCATTCGGGAAAATTCCCTTCCAAAACCAGAGGGTTGTCTCAGCTGAGATGACCGAGCTACAGTCAAGCCCAGGGCACCAAGAGCCTTGGGCAAGGCAGGGTGACACCAGCGACCGGGACCCCAGTGAAGGTTAGCACTGACCGACTAGAGGTCACCAGCCCCCGGGGTCGTCTGGGCCTGGTGGGCGCCCCTCTCCAAGCAGGGCAGGCCCGGGACCACCCTGATTATGCAGCCTGCCCGCCTCCCACAACCAAGGGCATTTCTAAATACTCTCAATTCAGGGCTCCAAATAAATCCACGTCCACATGTGAGGAAATGAGCTCCTACCCTGGCATCTGCCCGTGGCCTGGGTCTCTATCGGGCCAGGATTTGAGTCTGTTCTCATCACTGCTACATCCTCAAGCCTGGAAGAGTTCCTCACTTTTGGCAAGGGCTTTGGGTCCCCCTCCCACAGGGCTCTCCTGTCGGGCCCTTTGCTGACCCCACAGCGGGGAGAAGGTACAGGCCCCTGAAACTTCAGAGGGTCTCAGGATCTTCCTCTTCACCCTTGGGCCCAGCCCGAGATGCAGAGCAGGTAAACTGAGGCCCAGTCGGGCTATGGCCACATAGTGAACAAGCCCTCCAGACTCACTCCATTTATTAAGCCTATTGTAATTAGCCTAATACCCCAGGGGCATTTTTCCATCTTCAGCACATTGATTTGTGGTTTTAATATATGTCTCTGCCATGCGTCCTTATGTATTTTTCACGCAGGCAGCCCATTTCTCTGGGGTGAGGCCTATGATTTCTCCTTCCAACCCACCTCCCTCCTGAGCTCTATCCCACTTAGAGCACAGGGACAGCCACTCTCTGCATCCTCTCAGAGCTGCCAACAGTCCCTCCCTAGGGGGATGGCCCTCCTCGGGGGGCCCTCCTGTGCCAGGCTAGGCTAGAACAGCACATCAGGGACCTGCCCACCCTCATGAAAACACCAGCACCCCAAGGGCCAGGTTCATGTCTCATCAGTGTCTCTTCCACCACAGGGCCCAGAACATGCCTGAGATACAGAAATATCTGTGCAATGGATGGATGGATGGATGGGATGGACACGAGGGGTGGGGAGGGCCTGAGCAGGCCACAGCCTGGGAACAGGACCAGACCCACACACACAAACCTACCTGAAAAAGAAGCCCCCATGCACCCACTCTTCCCTACTCCTAGCACCCCCAGTAGCCCAATTACTCCCAACTCATCCCCCTAGCCCCTCATTGTCCTGTAAGTCCCCTGCTCTCCCTGCCCCAGCCCCCTCCAGAGCTCATTGCACCCTCCAGCCAGTTTCATCCACTGCCTCGCGTGTCCTGCAGAGCCCCCCAACCGGCGGCCACTCCCCACCGCCCGCCCACCACCCCTCATCCCGTCTTTGCATTGCAGGAACTTTTCAAACACCAGGTCTCAGCACTCCCCAAGGCTCTCTGTGAGTCAGGCCTAAGCGCAACGTTTAATGGCGTGTAATAAATTAGTGGACGTGGAGAGTAAAAAAGAAAGCCAAGACAACTCTAATTCACAGGCCGTCATGCCGGCCCGTGATGATCCTGTCTGGCCCGGGAGAAGCCGGCCTGCAAGAACTCCATCACAGGGAGAAGGGACAACGCCTCAGCGCCAGGAGGAGCCCTCCGCCTGGTGTTTTAGACGCCCCTCGCCTCCGAGGGCCCCTGCAGCCCACTCACTGTCACAGCCATAACGGGGGGGGGCTGACAACACTTCCGCTCTGCACGGAGGGAAAGGAAGAACAGTCACAGAGATGTCTCTGCCAGAGTCATCCCGCAGGCAGGAGGGTCAGAGCACAGAGGGGAGGCGGTCCCTCAGGGAGAGGTCTCTCCTGTGTGCTGTCCCCGGCCCCCCCATCCAGCCCCTGCTGGAGCACCCAGGGTGCCAGGACAATATACTCCATCCCATTTTTGCACAACTCTAATCAGTCAAGAAGTCTTTTCTTATTAACTCAAGAATCCACTACCCTGTAACTGACATGCCTCAGTTCTAGTTTTGCCCAAGAAGCCCACCAACAATAAGTGTGGCAGGCCTTTAAATATTTGAAAGCCTGTATCTAACATCCTTTCCCAAGTCTTCTCCTGGCTTATTAAAGGCCTTTGAGATCTTTCACCTCTGAGTCACCCTCCACTGCTCATCTCTATGAGCTCATTTCAGCCATGGAGGGGCCAGCACAGAGTACAAGCACTCTGTCCTCCTATACTCTGAGCTCTATACTTCTAGTAATCCAGCCTAAGCCCCCCTTGGCTTCGCTGGCAGCCACCGCAGAGTTTTGGCTCACATCGAGCCTGTGCATAATTTAAAGCCAAACAGCACAACTCCTCAGTCATGACCCCACACTTTGTCTCAAAGCCTCCAATTTCTTCACAGCTTCACTTCGCAGCCCTCAATGTCACCAGCTTGCATAGGCGACAGGGAGATCACACTCATATTTCTGAGCTGAAGTTTCCTCCAAATAAACATTACGTAAAGCATCTGCATATCCAAAACCCAGTTACATTTTGATTATTGCAGAACAAGGTTACTTCCTAGCTCGGATGGCTTGGGGAGGGGGGAGCATTTAAACACAGCCAAACCTCAGGGAGGTTCTGTCTGGGAGCTGCACGCCTCCAAGGTTATAAAGCTCTGAATCTACATGTTTCCAGAGTCAACTTCTCTCTGGTGAACTGTGCAGGGACACTGAGAACATGGCGCCCCCTCCCCAATTCAGCAGAGCACCAGATCAGTAGGGGGGTCCTGTTAGAGCACCTCTTGCAGTCTACAACTCTAAAAGGTACATGGGGATGGAAGAGCCTGTGAGGAGTGAGAGCCCATGAGACCTTGAGGACAGCCCCTTGCCACCCTCAAGGGTTAAGGGCCCCGGGTCGGGTAAATGCCCAGTCACCAACAGTCCTGCCCCCAGCTGGCTGCACAAATGGCCTGGTATCTTCTGACCCGCAGGGGTGGGGTGGGCGAGGAAGTCGGCTTTGCTGAAGCCCCAGGGGGCGGGGTGTCTGGCCCATTCTCAGCAGGGAGGGCAGCTGCCCTGCTCGGGGGCTCAGTTCAAACAAGGCACCTGTGGGAGTGCAGGTGACACAGCCCAGGGGCAGGGAGAATCCAGGTCTGTCCCTGGGTTTCAAAGGCCAGGGCAGGGGTGCCAAGAGCAGGCCCAGTCCCCAAGACAGCTGGCGCCGAGAAAGCAAGGGGCAAGGCCTAGAACCAGGGAGGGCAGGGGAGGGGTGTCCACCTTGTGCTCTCCCAACACGGCCCCTTTAAAGCTTGGGTCTCCACACCACTCCTCTGTCCAGGAGAAAGGCTTGCAGAGCACTTGGCCCACTTCCCCCTGCACCCCGTTCCCAGGGCATCTAGACTCCTCAGTGACAGCAGGTCCCAGATCCACTTTCTCAGGGGCCAGCCCCCATTCACCTTCTCAAACTGGGGAATGGAAAAGGAGAGGGACATGAGTACAGAGCCCCCAGGGGGCCCGAAGCAGGACTGAGGCCGCCAGAAGGAAGGGAGCCTGAGAAGCAGCCCCTAGAAGGCCCTCAGAATGATGTGTGGCCGGGATGCCAAGGAGCAGCAGATGATACACAGTCCCTGCCAGCCTTGCAAAGGGAGAGCAATCATTCACCAGTCCATAAACATCGATTCCCGCGCTGCCGCAGCCCTTCCCAAGCAGGCTGTGCGCTGGGGCAGAACCGCACTTTCTCCCCAGTCAAGTGCATTCCCGGCCAGGGTGGGGTGGGGGGAGGTGCAGGGAGAAAGGGACACACAGGGAGCACTTGGAACCTGGCGTTCCGGAGCTGGTCCCCACCCATCAGCTCCAGCTCAGTGCTGGCAGTGGGAGGATGGAGCCCCTGGACGGCGAGGTGCTGCTCAAGGGCCTGGACAGACTGCACGGGAGAGCACACAGCTGTTCCACCCCCATGCTCAGCACTGGAGGGGCCGGCAGCAGGCACGGGGAGGAAGTTCTCAAGAGACAGGCTGACAGTTCATCGTCCTGGCCTCCGCTGGAGGTTTCTGTTCCCTGAGCTGGTCGGACGACTGCCTTTTGCTGGGGGGAGGATGCTGGAAGTGTCTTTTCCCCAAACTCCAGAACTTGTCAACACTTGACAGGAAACAGCTTGGAGCCTCAGGCCACCCAAGCCCAATAACACTGGGGGCAGGTGCCAATGCGGGAAGGTTGTTCTCTATGCTTGGGGGGGGGGGGCGGGGGGGGCATACAGGTAGCTCTCATCACCTGC